TTTATTGGCCTGAAATTATAAATTATATAAGTACTTGGAGGAAAATTTTAGAACTACAATCTCTATTTCTAATATGATTTAACAATATTTACTGGTGGATACAGACATTTCTGTAGAATTCTCTTGTCCTGCTTGCCAGCCAAGTTAAATGTTATATGTTATCAGCGAAGGTCAGCAAACGTATTTTTAGCGCTCCTAGAAAATCCTGCAAGAGGAACAGAATTTTTAAAGGTACGGTATAGGCAGAAACTCCTCTGAACACTCTCTGAAGAACTCTTTGGTTCTTAGCACATTTTTTTTTAGCTGTTGTAACTACCTGGTATGCAATTTCAAAAGCTATGTTGCAGTTTTCCATCTTTAATTATCAGTTTGGTACATTCAAATAGAAATATTTCAAAAAGCAAACAATACGTAAGAATGAAGATTTTAAAGTAGCTTTAATGTAATACACATTATTATGAATAAGCAGAAGCACATCACCCTGAGTAAATCCCTTAATTATAGAGAAGCATTCTTTTACCACATTGTATTTTTTTCTCTCTACATTTTTTTTTGCCGAGACTTCAAGACTTTTACTAGTTCAAGGTATAACATTACAGCTTACTTATATTACAATATCCGTATCTTCTCTTTCAGTTATATTGGTCGATTTATTGTTCAAGTATAAAAGAGCTACCTAGCATTGAGCATTAATGATACGTATTACAACTTTGCTCCCACCCCGCCGCTTCCTATTAGAAACTTCCTATTAGAAACAGCTATTTCAAAAGAAAATCGGTTTTGGTCTGGCTATTATCGGAGCCTAAATACTGCTGACAACTGTAACTCTCTGGAATGAAGTGAACGATCAATGACAGCAACCACTACGAAAAATTAGCAGCATATTTTCAATAAGCTATAAACTTTAAAACATGAAGACAGTATTTCCAAGGAAATAATGAAAAAATAATAATTCTGGAGAAGCAGAATTACACATCAAAATTTCAGTGCAAAATCAAACTAAAACTGAAAGCAGGCAGTGTCTGTTTTGATAATGTGCAACAACCAGTCTTCTTTACTAGACAGACAAACAGACAGATTTCACGGCTTCCCTTAATTACTGAGTACCCTTAGCGCCCTGTCGTATGACATTTTTCCACTGTTTGAATGCTTTCAAAGCAGTTTGCATTTATTATTTTTAACATTAAACATCAAAGACAATATAGATACCAATGTCTGTAATCAATCTATATATAAAAATGAAGTAGTCTCCTAACAAAGAGGTATTTTCCCCTCAAATTCCACCATAGATATAGATCACATACTACACTTCCACTAGTCTGACTAAAAGGTTTTCTCTCACCTAACACCCACAACTGTGGGTTTTTTTTTTTTTTTTTTTTTTTTGGTCTAAGCAGAAACAGTTCAGTATAATAAGAAAAACAAAAATAATAATATTTAGGACTTTCATCATTATCACACTCTGCATATTAAAACAATATGACTAATTTTCATCAGCCAACCCATTCCAAGCTCTACTCTGTCTTCAGATTGTCAGTTAGTTGCTCAGTACATCCAGTGTTCACTACTGTGTATCTGTACATTAATATGCACAGCAGAATGTTGTTTACGTGGGAAAAATAAAGAAGGTAGAGACAAGAGATTAAATGAAGAGTAATGAAAGTATGAGAAAGAGAATGACAAATGCACAAGAAGGAGGTTTGGGTCTGTATACATTTATGTATGCACATGCATACATATTTGGGGGAGTTCAAAAGAATATAGAATACTGTAGGCAGAAAACAGTAAACAAAAGGGAAGACTGGACAAGGTGAAAAGACAGAAAAGGGGACTCAAAATGAACAGAAAGGCATGTAGGTGACTGGAGGATACAAAGACTGGGAAAAAAGATCAGAGGAAAGAAGCAGAGAAGGAGAGACTACAATAAAAAAAGCTAAAAACAAAATATTTAGAGTAACAAGTTGAGATAGAAAAAAAAAAAAACGAAAGAATTAAAAAAGAAAAAATAAAGGAGAAGAATGGAAGAAAGCCAAAGAAAGAAATTTAGTTACCTATCTAGAAAATCTTTCTCACCAAATACCTATGGTATTTGAAACACTGTTGCAATCCATTGTGCTTGGGTCCACACTGGACAGCAGCACCACACCTTTCTATACAAGCTTTACCACTGGTTCACATGCCCCTTGAGTGCAATCAGTGCTACATTACATAATGCAGTCAATTACAGACTTCTTATCCAGAGCACGGTGTCTTCAGATGTTCTTTAAATACATTTATGCATACGTAAAGTCATCTCCTGTTAAATCATCTCCTAACATCTTAGCTCTTTAGAAGGCAACCTTTTCCAAGAAGTAAGTCCCAGGCAGTTCTCAGCAACCTTTCCTTCACAACTCTGTTTCACTTATCCACACAGAAAGAGTTATCTCTCTGCTCTAGATTTTGCATTTGGATGAAGAAGCAGTTGCTTTGATTTTGCTGTCTCTCGGTATAGCAAAGTCATCCATCTTGTATTAGAAATGGGGTTGCCTATCATAAAAAAATAAAAATGATAGAGGAAAGTCGGACAGACAGGCACAGAGAAATTTTAAAGCTACATTTAATAAGTCAGTGCATGTTCTGGAAGGATAAGCAAGATAAACACATAGTTCAGTTTTCAAGTTGTGGCAAAATATGTCAGTAACTTTAAGCACACTTACAGGAGCATAACAAGGCTGTTACCAAATCTGACACTTCTGTTTGCTTATTTGTTTTGCTTCCTCTCCCTCTTAGGATTCCATGGTTACATCCCTGCTTCTACGACTTTATTCAATGGTACCTTCTTTTTATTTTTCATTATTTATTTATTCTGTTTCCTCTTTCTCTTGCTTTTCCCCAGAAGAAATCCTCCACACTGCTGTAAAATGCTGTTTCTGATAAAAACCAATATGGACACAGCTAAGAATCTGGGAATTCCAGCGAACAGAAGTTAGCACCATCCGCACTGACTGGCCACCGACCGCACCAGCTAGGCATCCCACACAGGAAACTTTTCACTGGAACCAAGTGTGACTCCAAGCAATCCAACAAAGCTCTGCCAGCATCAGAAAGACCTTTCTCCTCTTTTCTCTGCTTCGCCCTTACTCTATGTGAAGAGTCAACACGGACAAGGGTAATACTTCTAAGGAAGCCAAGGAAGCCCATCCTCTGTGCTCAGTGAGTGGCTGCAGGATGAAACAAGCTCAGTACTCAGCTGCCCTCTTCATTTCTCTTGGGTTGAGTACCTTGCTCCCCTAGCTCTCTGGATCTGTAGTGTGTCTTCAAGAAATATTAATTTTTATAGATCTTAGAACATAATGCATATTATTGCTATTAATTTAAATTTACACTTCTGCTCACAGTTCTCACAGAGAATTCCTGTAAGAAAAATCTCCACATTTTCAGTTATTTTTGCATTAGACCTTGTTTTCATACATTTTTTTTTGGCTAGTCCATAAGCTAGAATTCTCTCACAAACATTGGAACAGTAAAAGCAGCATGAATCCTCGACTCACCCCCCTCCCCACAAATGGAATTTTATCAGTACAAATGGGTTCACAATGAGAAAGCTTTTTCCTATAAAGAGATAAAAAAAGTTTAACTGTATAAGATACTTTCAAACTTACTGTCAAAGATATAGCTGCGAGTCTACTGTATATAATTTTAAAATATCTCAAAATACTCAAATTGTAACTTATATTAGGGTTACTTGCACCTTCAGTGTATGCCTTCAATCAAGTTAGCAAGGTTGCATGATGATATATTTTAATATTCTAAAAGCTTTCACCTTCTTAATGTAAAGTTATCCTAAATGCATATACTAGGTATATGCTTCATATTTACATACAGAAATGGAAACAGAAAAGGAATTACTCGGTGCTATCTCTGTTTAGATCACATCCCAGCCACAAAAATAAAAGAAGTACTGAATTAAAGGATGCTATCTGGCATTTTTTTAACTCACCATGGAGCTGGTAAGTCACCCACACACAACAATGCATTTGTAGACATTTGTCAAATACTGCAATGCCCATACTAAGGCAACACATCCCAGGAGTTGGCAGCCATGCTATCAGCAAGAATTTGGCTACAGAAAGAGCAATGATTCATCATACATTCTAGAAGCACTGTCAAAACAGCAAAACAACACACTGCTATTTTAATCCTTTAAAGGTAATGAGAGTTTAAAATATAATTAAAAACTTATTTGTAAAACTGAGACAAACTAAAATCCGGTAATGCATTTGGAAATGCAATGCATGTTTATTCACTAATGATCAATGTTTAAGACAGCATTTTTTTTCGAGAAGACAAAACCCAGCTATTTAATGTCAATGCCAGATAGCTACTTACCTTGCCATATTACAATTTAAATGGCCAGCATCAAAGAATGTTTCTTTCAGAACAGCTAATCAAAAATCCCAGTTTTAAAAATATTTTGAATTCATTTAGCTTCTCAGTTTTTAAAATCTTCTGCAGTAATTCCTTAGAATAACCATGAAAACACATGTTCATGAATTCTCTCACATTGCCACTAGAAGATTTCCAAACACATCCTCCAATTAAAGCATCACTGTACTCAGAACATTTCTTTCCACGTACTTATCTATTACAGTCTCAGATCTACCAAGAAAATAGTTTCTCAATTAACAATATGTTAAGCAAATAATGGTGCACATTTTGTCAAAAGCTCTCAAGTACTATTGCTTTTTTTCTGGTCAAAATCTTATCTTTCTTCCTCAAAATGTTCATGTTAAATATAAACATTGGGAAATTTTATCTTCTAAGTTACAAATTCCTTGAAAGACTTTTTTTAACCATAGCAAATGTATAATGACACAAAAACAAAATTAGTAACTAACACGTTTTTACCATCACCTAGTCATAAAATTTCTCTTTAGTGCTCAAAAGGGTATCCTCTGGAAGCATTTCAGATGTACTGCCCTTTTCCCCCACTATACAAATTGCACATCATGAACCCCTACCTTCTGGAAGATGACTTCATCTTGCTTTATCTTCTTTTTGCTCCTTTTTCTGATCTTCTGGTTTGTTTGAATCCATTTTGTCACCTAGAGTTCAAAACCATAATGCTTTTTTAGGAAGAAGTGACCTGAGCACAGCTACACAGCATTAATAAGAAACTAGAAAGAGACTCAAGACATGTTCTACCATTGCTTCACTGGAAAAGGGGAATACACTTTTCCAGCCTAGAATGACACAAGCTAATTAGTCATTTGTGGCATGGTCAAAGCATGAAGTGGTGTTCTGCACCTTACGCAGCATTATTCTGCTTGTTACTAAACCAAACTTTGAGCTTTCAACTCAAGTTTTTCGAACAGGAACTAAGCAGATCTGATGTGAGACCAGTTGACCAGTTTTTCAGATGAAATGCTGTCACTGTGGTAAGTCAAAAAAAAAAAAAAAAAAAAAAAAAAAGGAAAATATCTTGGGACACCTTACCCTTTGTACTTCATGTAACATTTACTTCCAGCCATCCACTCAACTATCAATCCCAATTTTGGATGATGGGATGGCCAATAATAAAAACCTTAGTCTAGCTTACACAAATATTTCTATTCTTAATAGGGAAACGATTATTTTTAAGGCAAGAACGAGGAAGGGTGGGGGGGGTGTCAGGTGGAAAACTCGAGGCGGGGATCTGCAAGGGAGGAAAAACGTTCGCAGAAAGCCCGGAGCAAGCGGGAAAGAAGGTTTTTCTCCTCACCTCGCCGCTCACTTGCTGGACGAGCTGACACTCCTTCCAAGTCTCGCCCTCCTCCAGCAACGGCTGCACGGGGGGGAAAGCGCAAGTTGAGGCGAGGAGCCTTCGCTCCCTTCGCGGCGGGAAGCGGCGGGACGGAGCGGCGCGGGAGCCACAAGAGCCGCGCGCCCGCGCACGCACCGCATCCCTCGCTCGGAAATGAAACACCTCCGCGGGTCGCCCGCCCCCGAGCCCCGGCCCCGGCCCCAGCCCGCCGGAGAGGAGGAGCCTGCCTTAAAGACGCAGCGGGCACGCGGGGCGGCCGGCCGGCCGGGCAGCGCTCCCCGCCGCAGCCCTGCAGCGCGCCCCAACCGCCCGCCGCGCCGCAACGGCCGCGCTGTGCGCTAACGGCCCCTGAGCGCTAACAGCCGCGCTGTGCGCTAACGGCCCCTGAGCGCTAACGGCCCCTGAGCGCTAACGGCCGCGCCGGGCGCTAACGGCCCCTGAGCGCTAACGGCCGCGCCGGGCGCTAACGGCTGCGTTATGCGCTAACGGCTCCCGTGCGCAAACGGCTGCGCCGGGAACTAACGGCCCCACTGCGCGGTAACGGTCGCGGCGCGCTAACGGCCGCGCCACGCGCTAACGGCTGAGAGGGTGAGCGCGGCGTGTCCCGCAGCCGCCTCCGCGTTTCCCCCGCGGCGCTCCTGGCATCCAGGGATTCCAAAGTAGCGCCTGGGGGTTCAGGAACCTTAACGAGGAGACACGAAGTCCCTCTTTTTGCCCACGGCAGAGCAGCGAGCCCCTCTGGCCTCAGCGCTTGGGCGATAAGCCGAAAGCTCCGCTGAACATGAGCGGGAAGCAGGTGATGGAGTCCGGGCATGGGACTCCCTGGCACTCCCGCTGTGGCAGGAGAGGCTCCGCTGCTGCCCAACACCGGCAGCTTCAGCGCTGCAAATGCTGAGGAAGCTTTTGTTGTACTTAGCAAAAATTATTTAAATTTACTTTTTACATTCAAAAGACAAAGCAAAGGCAGGTCATGTCATATCTGATATAACTAAAAGCATGGCCTGTATGGTATTTTCAGGTTTTAAGAAATAATTTCTGCTCTCTGCTATATATGACAATTCCTTAAAAGCTTCAAAAGAAAATCTGTGCTCTTGTAAAAGAAAACATCTCATCAAAGCATTTGTTTGAGCAAACCATCCCACATACAGAATTAGATGGACTTTGCCAACAGATGTTAGTAAATAAAGGTAGGTCCAATTAGTGACTGCTAAATCTTGACATTATCCCTTTATCATAAAAAAAAAAAAAAAAAAAAAAAATCCACCCTTTTGGTTTTACTGCCACAACATCTTTCTTTCAAGATCAAAAGCCTTAGATCAAAGCCAAGATCAAACTCAGTGCTTTAAATAGAAGCAACTTCACCATGAAGTTACACAAAGAAGAACTTCTTAATAGAGATATCACAGTATTAAATCTTATTAGGACCCTTTATTTTACACACACAACAGGTCTATTTAAAACAGGTACTGACAACGTATTCTTACATTGTAAAACTACAGCGGATCTGCTGCTAAAGGGTTGTTCAGAAAGCTGCTATAAATTGACTCTTGAACTCTACATTTGAAAGAAAGAATAAAAGAGTGTAGCTCAAAGAGAACAAACAAAAATATGACCAGAAATTCATGTTAATGGCAAATACAAATTACCTAAAAAAAAGTATCCCTAGAATCAGTTAACAGTTTGGATCTTTCATTTCTCCAGAAAACGTTATGGGACAGAGCGGGTTATAGGCACGCTATATATATATATATAGGCACGCTATTATAACCCAATGTTTCACAAAATACTCTGAGGAATCACACCTCCTTATCTGAGGAGGTACTGCATCCGTAGGGTGCAGCCATGACCAGACTAGGGAAACGCACTTTGGGAAAGAAGAAGAGAGGGAGAGAGAAAAGAAATTTCCCTGTGATGAACAGCTGGTCTCCTACTGCCTTCTTCCTTATGCCCAGAAGGAAAGACCTTGCAGTAGGTACAAGAGAGGCAGCACAAAAGGATATAGGACTGACTTGATGGGAGAACGACTGCCTAGCCCTGCAGTCCTGTGTGCAATGCCACGTAAGACTGACCTGTCATACTTGGGTCCCCTTCCAAATGGAATGAGGGAATTAATCAGTCTGGAACATCCTCCTTCAATTCGGAAAACATTCTTGCATGGATTCCTAACAGAGATGCCCTGCCTAGTCCTTACATTTCAACAAGCATTTATCTCATCTCAAGGGATGCTAAGGTCCTTTATCTTAGAGCAGCACGATTAAATATAACCAGATTTTGAATCTCTTATATGGGAGAAGGTACACATTCATATGTATTCTATTACCTCCTATCACACCAGACCCCAAGCAAGTAATGAACTTTCAGGACTGTACATAGTTTAGAAAACAACAGGGTATTTGGTCAACAGACAACCACCAAATTTCAAAATGAAAAAAAAAAAAAAAAAAGCATTAAGCTATTTAGGCTGTGATGGTTACTAGTGATAATTCTTGATTTTCTGAAAAACTATTGGCATGTAGGGTTTTTTTTAAACTATATAACTTTAATTGGTCTGTACTGCTCTGATGCTAAAGCACCCAATGTTGATAAACTAAGATGATCATCTTATCCTGGCTGAATACTGAATCATTGCCCTGTTTTGTTGACTTGCCAATACTCCTCAGATACTGGAAGGCAAAATATAGGAAAGAATAGAAAAGGGAATAAAAATATTTACTGTAAACACATTTCAAAAGAGCTTCTGCAAAGTGGAGGAAACAGAAAAGTACATCAGTCAAGTCATATTTCCCAACCTCTCCTCCCTAGAGCTTTGTTTTTCCTCTCAATTACTGAATTTTATGCCAGGCATACAAGCCCACTTTAATATATTCTATGTGTACATCAGCAAGAGCACAGAATATTCATCTAAAGATTTTATTGTTAGATTACACTTTTTTAGGGGATCTAACTGGGTTTGCCGCATACAAATTGGGATTTTGCACCTTTCTATGCCTTCCCATTTAACATACATAAACAAAAAGACAGATTCCTACTCAGATTTCCTTCTATAGAAATACAGCCATCCTGGCGACTTTTAAAGAAAGATATCACTACCTTAAGTGAAAACAGTAAAACTGATTTTCTTTTAGGAAAATGAAGAAAAACTTTTCAAATGAATTAGATAAAATATAAAGTATATACTTGCCATGATTGAAATATATTGAAATTGGATATATTGAAAAAAGCTTGAGAACATTAGTCTCAATGGGGGAAATTATCTTATTTTGAAATTGAAAATGAGGTGTTTGTGCAGCCTGTACAATCTGAAAGCTGCTTCTGTGGAAAGGACTTGGCGTCCAACATTTTGTAAAAAGCTTCAGAAAATGTGAAAATTCAAGGAGTATTTTACATAGCAGCTTGCAATATGTTTGATAATGGCTTGAAACATTAGATCGGCGGGGTAATGACTTCAAGGGTCTTAAAACACCATTGTTACCAGAATTTGGCAGAGAAGCTAATAAGCAGTGGACTGCATCCGAAAATAATAAGATGGCTGGTACATTCACACTGCAACTTGTTCTTGGAAGAAAGAGTACATCAGTGGTGGATGAAAACTACTAAAAAAGCAGTATAGGCTAGAATGTGCCCTTCTTAGGAACACTAAGTCCTCCAAGTGAACTGGTGCACTTTTCTTAACAACATCTTTACTCAGGGAAATGAAAAATTAAGTTGCTCCTGAGATTAACTTTATTTAAGATACTGTGTTTTGGTTGCTTATATTGATGCAGAAAAATCCAAATCGTCTTAATTCCACCAGGAAATTCTCTGTTACAAACACTTGCAGGAGCAGTATTCTGTGTCTAATATTCTTCTATAACACATTCTTACGAAGAGGTGTTATTTTCAGGTGAAACTTGCCCTTCCTGAAAAATATTTTTACCTCCAAGAGATAAAACTTGTTGAAACAATAACTTTGAGAATGTTCTTTCAGCACCTCTTTATAAAAAAACATTCACATCACTACTTGATTTTCAAATACGGTAACATGAAGAATTTTCAAAGGGGTACTACAAATATACCCATCACATTCATGTTTGCAACTCTGCCCTAGGGGGAAAGTTCCTTCACAGAGATGACTCATGATCGTCACCGATTCAGTACAAGATTAGGTTCATCATCTGATAAACAAAATACCCATGAGAACCTGACCACAAGCTGCTCGAATGATGTAACTTAGAGTAAACTATATTTTAGGTACATACATAGTTACATAAATTGCAGTATCCTCCTTTAGAAAAAGCAAGACAAGTTGTAAGAGGGGGTGATTTTCAATACAGTTATGGGTGAAAACATGACCTCAGACTTCAGAGATTTCAGGTTAACTCTTCTTTCAGTTTAAAAGTAATTTGAAGTTAAGTGTTTTGAATCCAGAGGACAAGGACTAGGGCTTCAGTATCTTGAGCATAAAAGAATCCTCTGTAAAATTCTCTTCAGCGAGGAGCAAAAATTCAAAAGCAGGATCTTGGTAGGCAATGGTTAGTTCCTAGCTGGCTGGCCAAAACTACATAGGATTTTGAAAGCCCTGTGTTTTTTGGAAATTACAGGAAAAAAAAAAGGAAAAAATAAATAGAACAAATCTGCTGGAACAGAGATAAAAGGCAGTCCTGAAAATCATCACCGAAGTGACAAATAGTATTTTCCTTACTTCTTCACCATAAGAGTTGGAAGAAAAAGTAGTAGTCTTTATTTCTCCCTGAAAACCATTTCAAAATTAAATGGGAAAGTCTTTGAGAGGTTTGCTGCGTCCTAGTGATCTCTTAAAGCAATAAAAAGCTCTACCAAACAGCTCTGGTAGAGAGACATATTCAAAGCAAAATTCTATTAGCCCTCTGGCCATGAAATCCTGTTAGTATATGCTAAGGATGATAACCATAAGCTGAACCATGACCTTTACTGATCATTTTTATTTTGAGCAAAAGCTTTGTCAGCCAACAGACCTTTTAAAGCTTTCAAATCTTTCACTAGATGTGTTCACTTTAGCATTT